GGGGAGGGGAGAGTTCGAATTTGGCGCGCGAAGAATACGTTCGCTAGGCTGTCTCCTTGCTCGGGGAGGGGAGGGAGGGGAGGGGAGAGTTCGAATTTGGCGCGCGAAGAATACGTTCGCTAGGCTGTCTCCTTGCTCCCATTTGGTGATTGGCTTTGTTTTTTTTTTTTGTTCGCCTTTTCCCCATCGATCCGACGGACGACGAAATGATGGAAGCCACCGTGGCTATGGCGGCCGCGGCCCCAGGGATGTTGCACGACGATCACAATGAGGCTGTCGACAGGACACGTGTCCTCGTTGCTGATCTGTGCAAGCAGTTCTACTTCATGGGATGGATGCTTGGCACTTCTGGCAGCATCAGCGTGAAGGTTCACGAGACCGGTGACGACAACTCTAATCGAGCGATTGTGATGGCTCCCTCAGGTCAGATAGGCTCTCCCACTCGAGGATGACCTTGTTATCTCAGTGTGACGATTCCTTGAACGAGTTCTGGGTTACTTGGAGTTTTTTTTTTTTTTTTTTTTCTGTCTTCTTCTTCTTCTTCTTCTCGTTTGAGCTCAATGTCCGTGTAGGTGCTTCAATGCTCATCAGTAATGCATGGAAGCATAGCGATTCGCTGTTTCAATTCAATTCCTCTTCTTCTTCTTCTTCTTCTTCTTCTTCTTCTTTCTTTTCTGTGGTTATTTGGAGGTTGCAAGCGTGATGATCCCTTGTGTCTCAGGGCATACTCACAGCAGGACTTTTTCTACTAAGCTCTGAACGCGATGGCGGTCAGATTCATCCAGGTCAAGCCGTAATTGCAGTCAGATGCATGTAGGAAAGTGGTAGTGTGAGTATGCCATTCAGTTTGCTCGCTGTGACAGCTCCATCTCATATCTTCTGTCAGCACGACCACCCTCCAAATTACAATAATCTATCATATTCTTATACATACAGTATCAATATAATGGAATTTCAATGAGAATAAGAAATGAAATATAATTAGTTTTTTTTTGGTACGATGAGAATAAGAAATGAAATATAATTAGTTTTTTTTGGGTACGATGAGAATAAGAAATGAAATATAATTAGTGTTTTTTTGGTACGATGAGAATAAGAAATGAAATAGAATTAGTTTTTTTTGGGTATAATGAGCATAATAAAAAGAACAAAGAATGAAAAAAAACAATTCAAGAATTCATTATTTTATTTCATGAGAATGAATAAAATAAAACTATACAGGGGGAAAGCCGCTTGCAATGAAAATTGGGAGTGTTTTTTTGGCATGTGCGGTTTGGGAAGAGGTTTGATTGGAAAATGGGATTTTTTTTTTTTTTTTTTTTTTTTTGGACCATTCTTGGATTTCTGCACGTCCTCCTTGCTCAGGGGCCATGCTACGTAGTCCTCTTTGCATGGTTCCATATTTAACGGACGTGGCGGAGGACCAGTGCGAGCATGTTAGGTGTCCAATCGGGGTCCTTTTTGGGGTCTCCAGGATGGCTATCTGACCAATGCATGGCCGCAATTTCTGTTGGGGTGAGAGACAGCATGAATGCGACCAAAAAAAAAAAAAAAAACATGAATGCGACCAACCGCATTAATTAAGGAGGTCAGGTTGGTTTAGTCGTGACAATCTCCCTTGTCGGTGCATGTAAATTTTGCCAATGTCCCGTCCTTCACTTGCCCTGGATAACCAGTATGTAGTGCTAACGTAGTCTAGGGTCGGTTTTAGCTTCGCACGGCGTTGGCGTCTTGTGGTTCTAATGGAATATTTTGGGCGTTCAACGTTTATACTACTGTATGTGTGTGGTCGTTGACGGATGTTCTTCTCCGACATCTGTTGTCTTTTTTTCTTTCGTCTTGCGAGGACATTGTTCTAAATCATCCCTCGAAATATTTCGTGACGACGGTAATCATTTATCAATATTTCTGGGGGTGTACAGGGTCAGGGTAACGGCAAGCTACCACAATATTTCCCTTCTGCAGCATCCCTGTAGAAAAAATACGTGGAGGGAACGAGGGGTGTGTGCAGGCGCGGTATTTCCCTTCTGAAGCATACCTATAGAAAAATACGCGGAGGGAACGAGGGGTGTGTGCAGGGGACGTCTGAGATTGTGTGCCCATGCGCATGTTTGTGCGCGCGCACGAGCGCGAGCGAGCGAGCGAGCGAGCGAGAGAGAGAGAGAGAGAGAGAGAGAGAGAGAGAGAGAGAGAGAGAGAGAGAGAGAGATCTGTTTCGAGAGAAATTTGCAGTGGGAGCTGGGAGACTGATGTGAAACACAGGGAGGCAGGCGGAGAGGATATGTGCGCGGGAAGTGAAGTGGTTGATCTTCTTTGGCAAAAGGAGACATGGGTAGCGGCGCGGCGCCTGGTGCGGCCAATGCTCAGGCCTCTGACGGATATTCGCACATGGCCAATCTTTGGGGGCTGCCGACCACTCATCCGAACAGGCAGATCCCGAAAAAAAAAAAAAAAAACGGAGGGAAAAAAGAAAGCTGGGGCTTGTAAAGGGAGAGCAGTGGAATAAGGAAGATCACAGATTGAGATTAGTGTAAGCTCCACGCACACCTCCCCCCACCCCCCAAAAAAAAAAAAAAGAGCGAGGGAAAAAAAAAAGATTATTGTACGTTCCATATGCCTGAACTCTATCTTGGTCTTTATGCTGCAGTTCTTGCTTGCATCTTCGGCTATCACCATAAGTGCGGGCGGGAGGAGGCGACATGCTTTCCCCCCTTGACTGGGAGAGGTAGCTATGGTTGCAGGGGTGCCCTGTACAAGGCCTAGGAGTAGTGGTAGGTAGGTAGTGAATGGTGAAATTGAGAGAAGAATGTAGCTTAGTTGCAAAGAACAACAAAAAAAAAGAATATATATTTTGGCTGTCTCATATAATTTCAGAAAAAAAGAAAAAGAAAATAAGGAAAAATATAAAACATGTTGAACTTTGTTGTGACAGTGGCAATTGGTTTATCTGAGGGACGTCTCAATTGCTTTGCTTGGCTAATATGCCTTTCGTCCTCTTCTCTTGTCCTTTCTTTCACTGGATCCCTTTCTCTTTTTCTTGCCTCTGTGAGGTTTGGTTTCCTCCTTTTCTTTACATCTTTGCCTTTTGGCTGCGTGCAAGTGGGTCCTTGTGACACACGGGGATGGGGGCAGGCAGCGCTCAACCTGTCATCCACGTGGCTGGCCTTGTACGTAAGAGGTGATGAACAGGTGGGGCTTTCCTTCCTTCCTTCTTTTCCTTTCCTTGTTTTGCTTTTTTCCGCCTTTGCGCTCCGATTCACAGTGTGACAATGTATATATGTGTGTGTGTGTTGTGTATGTCGTCTTGTTTTGTATATGGTATTTATGAAGGTGTGCAGAAGGAGCGAATCGCACCTGAAGACCTTTACGTACTGAACGCGGATGGTAGAGAATGGATTGTGCCCAACGCAAAACCTCCCCCAGCGAAGGCTCCCAAGCTCACAGATTCTTGCCCAGTCTTTCTCAAGGTGTTTTTCTTTTTTTCCCGTTTCTCCCTTCTCTCTCTCTCTCTCTCTTTCTCTCTCTCTCTTTTTCTCTTCTCTCTTGTGGAGGGGGGATGCTAATCTTCTGTATCATTCCAAGTTTTGAACGGATGTTTCGAAGGACTGGTTTTTGTTTTTTGAAGCTGTATGTTTCCAGAACTGGGTGATCGGTTTCTCATGAACGTAATTCGTGATGAACGCTTTTGTTTTGTACGTGAAAACTTGTCTGGATCACGATTTCTTTGCAGGTTGCAATCCGGGAACTCTTTGGAAAACGCTGAGCCCATAAAGCCGCGAAGATGAGCCAGCCAACTCTTTGCAATCTGGGAACTCTTTCGAAATCCTCCTTTCGATAAAATCCCAACCAAAATTAGTGGCTGGACTTCGGACCGGCAATTTGCGAAACCCTCTTATGTGCCCATAGACACGGTCAAACGAACGAGAGAGAGAGAGAGAGAGAGAGAGAGAGAGAGAGAGAGAGAGAGAGAGAGAGAGAGAGAGATGTGGAAGTTCACTTCCTATAAAACTCTGCTGGTCGGCTGTTTATTAAACCATCCTGGCCCCCCCACATACATACACATCTCCACACGCGCACACACACACACACACACACACACACACACACACNNAGAGAGAGAGAGAGAGAGAGAGAGAGAGAGAGAGAGAGAGAGAGAGAGAGAGAGAGAGAGAGAGAGAGAGAGAGAGAGAGAGAGCTGCCTGAACAGTTTATGTTGATCGGGAGTTTACTAAAACCTCTTCGATGTTTTATGGAGACCCGATCTATGTCCAGAAACCCGATAACCGTAGGAAATCCAGAGGGTTCCTTTAATAAACCACCCGTACCTGCCGAGCCTGATGAAGTCCCGTACCAAACCGGGCTCTGGCAGTACAGGAGGTGAATATTCAGGCGTATTTTGCGTTCGCAGCTTCAGGAACAAGGAGGCTATCATAGGCAGTGTTTGGTTCCATAGGCTCTCTAAATCTGAGAGCTAGGAAGTTACCCCTGGGGCCTGGTCCCACCAGATGCCATTGAGTTGCGAAAATTCAACGGTGTGAGACATCTGAGAAGAATAAAAATTTAAAAAGAAACCATTAAAAAAAAGAAGGGAAATTGCATCTGTACCCCATTTGGAAGATGGGAATACCCGCTATGCCCAGCCCCGGTGTCCAACTTGCATCAGTACCCGGAAAATTGTTGGTGCAAATTATTTGTATACCCAGGACGGAGGAGGGCCAAGGTTGGTACCGCCAAATTGCAGTTATACCCAACTACCGCCAAATTGCACTCATACCCATCTACCGCCAAATTGCAGTTATACCCAACTACCCCCAAATTGCAGTTATACCCAACTACCGCCAAATTGCACTCGTACCCATCTACCGCCAAATTGCAGTTATACCCAACTACCCCCAAATTGCAGTTAAACCCAACTACCGCCAAATTGCACTCATACCCAACTACCGCCAAATTGCAGTTATACCCAACTACTGGAACGCTAACTATGCACATACCGGGGCAAATTATGTGCATACCCAATTTTGCCTGTCCCGTTCCTGGGCATAAGCATAATGTTGTGGTCCCCAACCAAGTGTCTGTGGGACTGGGTACGCCTATAAGTTGGCACACAGGAAAAGTAGGGTGTTACCTTAAGTTGGACAGGGTCTGGGTATAGATGCAAGTTGGGCGCTCGACTGGGTATAGCGGGTATTCCCATCTTTAAGTGGGGTACAGATGCAATTTTCCCAAAAGAGAATGAAATGCTGCCGAGAGCTTTTGCCCCTATTTTCTGAGAGGTAATACCTTAAGTTGGACAGGGTCTGGGTTTAGATGGAAGTTGGGCGC